TCCTTAATTTTGAGTTCTGAAAAGTCATGCAGTATAACACGATGAAACCATGACCCATTTGCTCATACACGACACACAACGTGAAATGAATGAGAAGGCATGTAGACATAACACAAAATCTAAATCAAGTAATTTTAGCATGTCAAAGTCTTATTTATGCATATGAAAATATTTCCCAACAACAAAATTGTGGCTAGTGAAAATGCAAAGTGGCTAGTAACGTTGGAAAACTACTAGCCACTGTGGCTGGTGATCTAATAAGTTAATGTAAAGCCCTGTGTATATATATATATATATATATATATATATATATATATATATATATATATATATATATATATATATATATATATATATATATATATATATATATACACAGATAAATTTTACACTATTTATTGAACTGCTTACTATATACTGTACTATATTATTTAATAGATCTTTAATGGCTTTCGCTTAATAAACCGAGAACTTTGGCCAGTTTTATCATCAATGTCATTTTTAGTGTCAAATATTTTCTGGTATTTATTGCAATAACAATATTATTGATGATATTTACATGTATTCACTGTTAGACATAAACAATCCAGTATATTAAGAGAAAAGTCTTACATTTCATGTTTTTATTTTTTATATATTTTTTAAACACAAAAAAGGTCTCAACCCTGTTCCTGGAGCCACACTATCCTGCAGAGCTCAGCTATATATAAACTCACTGAAAGAGCTGGTTAGGCTTTTCAGGATTAATTAAAATACACAAGCAGACGTGCTAAATCAGGTTAGAAAAAAAAACTTTGCAGGACAGGACGCAGAATTGGAGACGGAGCCTACATTGAAATTTTATTTCACTTTCATTCATACTGGACACTAGAGGGTGTCCTTGTGCATAATCTCCACATATACGTTACTGAAGAAAAGATGTCCGCTATCAATGCATGACAGCAGAGGAAAAAGATGATAGAAACAGATAAATGGATAAAAAATAGACAATAAACAAGCACTTGAGGCAATATGGATTATCTGTGTTCTTCTAGCAATCCTGGATATTTTAGAAGCATAAAGTATATTTATAACAGTATGCTAATTAGCCTAGCATGATTTATCCTTCATTTTGTGAAATGAAACCATGTCTGGTCACAAAAATGAATTGTTTTAAACACTCAATTGGTGTTATGAAGTGAATTTACAGTGTAGCAAATGTCAGCAAATATCTGTGTTTGTAAACAGTTTAAAACCCACACATACTACTGTAATACCCCCATGCTTACAGGGTACCAGTTACAGGTTTTATCTTTATTAGAAGTACATTTTTTATAGCGGGGAAACTTTTTACTGGTATATTGTACACAATAAGATATCGCCCATCCCTAATGTGTTGCTTTGACTGTGAAGTCCTGTACTGCTTTCCAGAAATATTTCAGCTTTTTTGCATTTCCAAGTAAGTGCATGACTGATCATACATGGATTTAATGAATCATAAAACACAACACAGGGCTTGAAATTAACTTTTTTACTTGGTAGCACCGGTGCTCCCAACTTCAAAAATTTAGGAGCACCAGAAAAAATTTAGGAGCACCAGAAAAAATTTAGGAGCACCCACCAAAATTGAATGAGCACCGCTGCAAATTGTATTTTAAGGGATTTATTGTATTTTAAAACAACATCAATAGGACTGACAAAAACCAGAAACAACTATCTAACTAATGCTGAGATGACATTGATATTTGTGTGCAATTATTCCAAAATGTGTATGTCTAATAATTATAGAATATTAATGATGATGAAAATGACAATAATAGTAACAATGATTTACATTTCTCATCATCATGCTGCCTTGACTGTGCTTTAATGCAAGTTATCTGCTATAAAAAGTCTGTTACTTTATGAAAAAAATGTATAGTTTGCATCAAACAAAAATTAAGCATTGCAGTAAGAAATATTTATTTTGTACTGCTAAACAGCATATATATGCATGTCAGTTTAATAAATAATATTTCTGCTACAAAACAAACAAAATATTATAATAAATAATTTAATTTAAGGCTGAAAGCTGCAAAGCAGTCATCAGTAACTAAAAAAAAATATATACACCTCAAGAAAGAATAGGCAAAAGAAAGTAAGTAAAGTCTCACTTCTATCACTCTTTAAAAGTTTTGGTTTCAGTTTGTGTCAATTTAAATGTTCAGTCTGAGCTGATTTTCATTTTTCTGTGTTTGTGGAAAAGCAGGCGAGTCAGCCGACCCCATTTATGAGCAGGTTGAGCACCGGCGCAATACCGCTGTTTGTTATGAGACGCTTCTTTGGCAATGATATGTACAGTATTAGATTTGACTTTTAGCAGACATTTGCGCTGAACACGCAGTGAATGCAACGCATCGAGATTCAGCCGCTTTCTCCGAAAAGCACGTACTCGATTGATCTCAGTTGGCGGATCAATATTCACCACGTGTCATGATCGCTCTCATCTGCGCCTCAACTTTAGGTAGGGTTTGCTCTTTGCAAACCTGTGTGCTTTAAGTTTTCACTCTTCAGCCGTTTGTATTTCCCGTGGTCATAAAAGCTCCTTCCCTGTCATCTAACAGCGGAAAGCCTTGAGTGATTGACAGCTAATATGAACCAATATAGCGGCAGGGAAGAGCGATTCAGCACGTTTTTAGAAAAAATCAAAACAGGTCGCACTAATGCGCCCAAATATATTATGAGGTCGCATCGATTAATTTTCAGGCGCATATGCGACCAAAATGGTCGCAATTTCAAGCCCTGCAACATGTATACGCAGATATGCTTTACCCTTGATAGAAGACCTTCATGGCACGCAGGACCCCCCAACTGGACCCTCCATGTGCTTAACTTCAGCCTCTCACACATTAAGTTACAAACCTCATTCTGGAACTGATCTGCAACACAAAAAACACTGGTTATGCATCACTCAACCTTGTGTGCGTGTGTGTGTGTGTTTGTGTGCGTGTGTGTGTGTGTTTGTGTGTGTGTGTGTGTGCGTACCTGCGTGAGAAACTTACTCTGTGTCTGAATGGTTTTAGGCCAGGCCTTTCCAAGCGTCTCATATGCACACAACAAAACTTCTGTCTGTAATTCTCGAGCTTTAGCATCATCATCATCATCGTCATCATCATGTCTAGGAGAACTGGCACTAGCCGGCTGATTCTAAACAGAATAATAATTATTATATTTATAGATATATTTTTAAACAGCATGTGGAGCTCCCCTAAATACACGGTTAAAACTAAACAATTAATATTACTGAACTATTCTTAGTACTCAATTGGGTTTAAAAGCCAAAGCAAGAAGAGTCTAAAAAGAGAGAGAGAAATCCGCTATATTCAGGTTTACTGTACCTTTTTAATGAGGGGAAGCACAATCTCTGCGACTTCATGAAAACGATCCACTTGCGTTGACTCCAAGATGTCTGCTGCGCTACGCAAAGCTGCCATTTTATACACCAGACTCTCCTTTTTGCATTCCTTCAGCACCAGATCCAGCACCTCGCTCACTGTAGGTTGACCGGCTGCAGGCTTTTGGAGCTCCACACTACACACACACACACACACACACACACACACGTTCAAGTATTCGAAGTACAGTTTACTAACCCAGAAATAGCAAGATAATTATTTTTAGTTTCAACAAATCATATGAAGTCATTTGCACACACCTTTGTGTGTGTGTATGTGTAAGAAATAAACAGAATCTAACCTGCATTTAGACACTACAGATCCAACAGCTTTTAACAGTTCTTCCTGTAAAAAAATACAAGCCGTTATACTTTAGAGATCACAAATAAAAGCATGACAAAGTTTGAAAACAGTGTCAAAATAAACCAGTGACATTCCGTTTGTCTCCGGCTATATATATATATATATATATATATATATATATATATATATATATATATATATA